GGCGTCGCGCGGTACCTGGACCCGGAGAAGGACAGGGCCAAGTTTGCGCCGGCGGCCGTGTTTGGCGGCGAGCGCGCGTACCGCAGCGGCGACGTGGTCCGCGCCGAGAGGCGGGGGCTCGTGTTTGTCGGCCGCGACGACGAGCAGGTCAAGCTGGGCGGGAGGCGCGTCGAGCTGGGCGAGGTCGATGCCGCGCTGCTGACGCTGCCGGATGTGTGTGCCGCGGCGTGCGCCATCCGCCGCAGCGAGGTCGGCGCCCAGGTGCTCGTGGGGTATATTGTCTGCAGTAACGGGAGGGCGCCCGATGCCACGGACCGGGAGATCCTTCGGCGGGGGCTCCCCGCGACTCTGGTGCCCATGCTCGTCGCCGTCGACGACCTCCCGGTCCGCACGTCCGGCAAGGTGGATCGCAAGGCGCTGCCGTGGCCGCCGCCGCCGCCGCCTACCCCGGCCCCGGCTCCACAATCGTCGGCCGGCGATTTCCCTTCCGGGAATGTGGATAAGGAAGAGGCCGATGGCACCACGGCATGGGTCGCCGAGCAGTGGCGCCGCGTTCTCGGCATGCCCCCTTCGTGCGACTCCAACTTTTTCGACCTTGGCGGGACCAGCTTGGGCGCTGCGCAGCTCGTCTCCCAGCTCCGCCAGCGATGCCCGACTCTCTCGGTCGCCGACGTCTACGAGAACCCGGGCCTGGCCGCCATGGCTGCCCGCGTGGACGACCTCATGGGCACCGGACACGTTGATCGCGAAGTGGTGCCGACCCCGCGGTGGCTGATGGTCATCCAGGCTGCGATTCTGCTCCTCGAGATGACCTTCCAGGGCGTCCGGTGGCTGACGGGGCTGGCATTTGTCAAAAAGATCTTTGTCGTCGTTCTCGGGCCGGGCACCTGGGCCGGTAGGTACGCGCTGCCGTGGTGGGTGCTCGCCGTCATCTGGGCGGTTTTCCTCACGGCGCCCGGGAGACTGCTCACGACGGCCGGAGTCGTGAGGACGCTCTGCTTTGGCATCGCGCCGGGCACCTACCGCCGGGGCGGACTGCGTCACATCAGGCTCTGGGCCGCGGAGCGCTTCGTGGGACTCGGCGGCATCGCGTCCGTCGCGGGCACGCCGTGGTGCCGATACTACGCGCGGCTGCTGGGGTGCCGAGTGGCTTCCAACGTGCAGCTTCACGCTCTTCCACCTGCAACCGGGCTGGCGAGCTTCGGCGCAGGCTGTGCCGTGGAGCCCGAGGCCGATGTTGCCGGGTGGTGGCTCGATGGCGACAAGCTACACATCGGGGCCATCACAATCGGTGAGGGGGCCAGGGTTGGCGCCCGCAGCACTCTCATGCCAGGCACGATTCTGGACCCCTTTGCCAGTGTTCAGCCCGGGGTCAGCGTCCGGGGCATAATCCGGGCGTCGGACGCCTCTCTCGCCCCCAAGGGCAACGAGGATGGTGTTGGGGCCAGGACTAGAGAGGGCCTCGGGATATGGCTCTTGTACACGAGCACTCTATTGATGCTGGATTTCCTCCCTGTTCTCCTGGTTGCGCCTATTTTTTGGCTCGTTCCGACCATCGTTGGTGACTACAGCAACTTTCGCGAGATGTGTCTAGGCCTCATCACAATGGCAGCGCCAGGTTCCGTCCTGGGGCTGTTGTTGTACTCGACCTCCATCATCCTGCTCACACGGACGGCTAGTCTCGCCCTCCGCCCCGGCCTCTACTCATGGCATGGGACTACGGCGTGGGCAGCTTGGCTGACACATTATTTGATGATGAATACCAGAACCGTCCTTTTCCCCGTCTTTGCCAGCCTATTTACCCCTACGTGGCTGAAACTCCTTGGTGCCCGAGTAGGTCGCCATGTTGAAGCGTCGACCGTTGTCCCCATCCCATCGCTTCTCCGCGTTCAAGACGGCAGCTTCCTCGCCGACGACGTCTTGCTGTCGCCGTTTGAGCTCGGTGCCGGCCAGGTGCGAATCGGCACTGCAACGGTCGGCGTCAAGTCATTCATCGGCAA